TATATATGAGAGAGAAGTTTTTATATATTATTTTTCTGCAACTGCATTATTTAGGAACATCTGTGACTTACAGTTGGATTTTATATCAACTGATACAACAGTCCTTTGTGTAGTAAATAGTAAATAGTAATTTGGGACTTCTTGTTCTATCTGTAACATAAGCCCATATCTTCCATTTAGGACAGTTGCAAATATAGAAGCATACAACTGATGCAGAAGTATCTGTATTTACAGTATTTGTTAAACTCAAACTACATGTACTTCAGAGCAAACACATCCACTCTATTTCTGGAGAGGATGACATTAGTGGTTGTGAACAATTATTTTCTTTCTTTTGCCCTGCTTTTTGAGGTACATAACATTGTATATGTTTAAGATGCACATGTTGATTTGATACATTTATGTATTACAAAATGATTACCAATATAGCTTAGCTAACACATCTCTCAAGTCTTATAATTACCACTTAAGATGTCTCTCAGTAAATTCCAAATATATAATAAAGTAATACTAACCATAATCACTAAGCTCTACATTAGAGCCCCAGAATTTATCATCTTCAAACTAGAAGTTTGTACTCTTTGACCAGCTTCTCTCTATTTTCCCAACTCCCTCCTACTCCGCCGCCCCTGGTACCCACATTTCTACTCTATGATTTCAGCTCTTTATATATTCCTCAATAAGTGAGATCATGTAATAATTCCCTCTGTCTGGCTTATTTCACTTACCATAGATTCTTCCAGTTCCATCAAGTCTCTGGGAACCACAAGGGTTCTTGCTGCATGGCCCCTGCTTTTCTTTCTTATTACTGGTTATTTCTTCATTTGTTAGTTTTGCCCGTCTAGGTCGGAAGTGGGAACTTTGTACAGTGCCCAAAGGCTAGGGATACTGGTTAATCACTCTGCCCTTCCTTTCCTAGCAAAAGGAATCCTTTCGAACTGAGGACTTTCCTCTTAGAAATGAACCAGGTCTGATGAAATTGTCATTGAAGGTAAGGACCACCTTGGATGACAAAGAGAGATTCCTACAGAACTTGGAAAAGGCCCTCTGGATGCCATAGTAAAAGTTAGCAAAAGATATGACAAAGTAGAAACATGTTTGAGTTGATCATAACACCGGTATTAGATGTCTGTCACTCTAATGGTAATTATGAGATGCTTAGGAGATTATTAAAGAACTTAAAGACTAAGCAAATTAAAGTTCACAAATAATAATTTGTTTCAAAGTAGATGTGGTTCTGAAGTTCAAAAGCTTTTGAAATTGCACAACATCAAAGTGAATGACTTACACAGTGTAACTTCTGAAAGCTTTTCCTAAAATAATTATGAACATCATTATGGGGTAAAGTTGATTTTACCTATTAAAGTGGATTTTCAGTACAAGTAAATGGACTTATTTTGGAAACAAAATGCCCAATAGAACATTTTCTTAGTAAAGCATCCAAGGAAGTTTAATCGCACTTTTATTTGGTAAAGTACATTTGAAAACTTAACATTTTAATCCCACAAGGATTACTTCGCGTTTAAGAATAAATAATGGACCTGAAAATTTCTAGTAGAAGATGTTTTAAGTAGAGAATTCCTGACTATTTTAAAATATATTATTGTCATTCAATACAGTGAATAAATTTTTGAAATAATAAATACTAGAAATATATGGTTTTAATACTTACTGAATAAGTCATTATAATGGATGATTACATTCTTATTGAATAAGCACACTTCAGTATTTTCATAGTACTTTGAAAAATTTTAATCTGAATAATGTGTCTTAAATGGTGAAGACATTTTCCACAGTGCTGCTTAATACTTTAAGATTTTACTAATATGGCTTATAGGTGGAATCCTGAAAAGTGATACAGAGGAACTTACTGGCAAAACAGACAGAGAGACAGAGATTAGAGAACAAATTTTCTGTTAACAAGGGGAAAGCAGGGAATAAACTGAGAGATTGGGATTGACAGATATTCACTGCTAGGCATAAAACAGATAACTAATGAAAATCTGCTGTTTCACACAGGAAACCCCACTCAGGGCTTTCCTGGTGGCTCAGTGGTAAAAAATCCTCCTGCCAATGCAGGAGATGCAGGACACGTGGATTTGATCCTTGAGCCGGAAAGATCCCCTAGAGATGGAACTGGCAACCCACCTGGCAGGCTACAGTCCATGGAGTTGCAAAGAGTTGGACACGACAGTTGGGTACTGATCCCTGGTAGACTGACTCTCCTCGGCGCTCCCTGGTAACATAAATGGGGAGGAAATCCAAGAAGGAGGGGATGTGTGTGCAACTGACTCACTTTGCTGGGCAGCAGAAACTAAACAACATTGCAAAACAGCTATCCCCCAATAAAAATTAATTCAAAAAGAGATTTTATTAAACTGTAGAAGTCTAAAGCAATACATGAGTCTGAGAGCTCATTCACAACCCCGTTTTATAAAGCACAGAAATCTGATGATCTCAGATAACCCTTATTACAATATCCTCCAATATTTAACATAGGAAATTCATTGCTAGGAGCATATTCCTTAAACACAATGAAGTTATCCTCCCCATTTTACCATAGTGCACCCTATATAATCTTAAACAGCAAAGGAAGAAAAGAACAGCTTTTTTTTAAGTCACATCTAGCTATTTCAAATGGCTTCTAGGATACGAAATTTTCTTTTAAATTTTTTATTAATGGTACATTTTAAGATCTTTGTATTAAAAGGTTTTTTTTCTTTTATATTGTAAAGCAAAATTTAAATCATATAAGGAAGTACATTTGAAACTAGGGAATTTAATCTTTCTTCTTCACAAGCATATAAATCAAAAACACAATAGAAATGAATTGATTTAAAACTCTACTAGCAGCCACTAAAAGGAATGAATGTGAGTCAGTTAAACTGAGGTAGATGAACCAAGAGCCTGTTATACAGACTGAAGTTAAGCCAGAAAGAGAAAAACAAATACCATACATTAACACATATATATGGAATCTGCAAAAATGGTACTGATGAAGCTATTTACAGGGCAGGAATAGAGATGCAGACATAGGGGATGGACTTGTGGACACGGTGGAAGAAGGGGAGGGTGGGGTGAATGCAGAGAGTAGCGGTGACATAGATACACCAGCAGTGTAAAGCGGAGAGCTAGTGGGCAGCTGCTGTGTGCCATGGGGTGCTCAGCTCGCTGCTCTGTGACCGCCTGGAGGAGTGGGTGGGATGGAGGCTAAAGAGGGACGGGATCAATATAAATAGGACCTCCCCTGTCGCTCAGATGGTGAAGAACCTGCTTGCAATGCAGGAGACCCAGGTTCAGTCCCTGGGTCAGGAAGATCCTCTGGAGAAGGGCAGGACGACCCACTCCAGTATTCTTGCCTGGAGCCTGGTGGGCTACAGTGCATGGGCTCGCAAAGAGTCAGATGTGACTAAGCAACTAAGTACACACACACTTATATAAATACTCATGGCTGATTCACCTTGTCGTGTGGCAGAAACCACCACAACATTGTAAAGCAATTGTCCTCTAATTTTAAAAAAAAAAAATTCTACAAGGGAGAAATGCATGCACACCTTCTCCTTTTTGCCCATTAATCTCCTCTAGAGCTTTGTGAAATTTCTAAAATTTATATAATGCCTTTTATCATCTTAAATTCTATTATCAAATAATGTTGGTAAACTGTCTGAAAAACTTTTCAAAGACTCAAATTTTTACATTTCCCTGTGTCTGAGAAATAATACTAGCTTCCCTAAAATAACAGTTACCTAGAGAATGACCACATTTCTTATTTTTCTTGGGCAGAGCCTAATTACTCAATAAAGCCCCAAGGTTTGTGTAATTTACATGTTCTATTATTGGCTACAGCAAATGAACCTAGAATGGCCTATAACATAAAATCTTTTAATGCTTTTGGAACCTATTTAGAACCTCCGATGCTGTGCCAAAGACATCCTGGGTCCACTGCCACCCGTAGGGTCTGAGTCTTTGAACAGGAGCTGCCTTCTCTGACCAGTCTTCCTCTTTTGTAGAGTTTGGAGGCTGAGGATGGAATGGGCAGGTTGATTTTAACCCCAAAGTCTCCAGAATAAAGTGTTTATGTTTCTAGTGAGTGTTAAACATTCAAAATACAAGTAACATTGAACAAGGGTCTTGTGTTTCTCACCAAATTATAAACCATGTGCCCTCAAAGTTACAAAGTATAAGACAATATAAAAGTTCAAATTTTATAAGCAGCAGGTTATAATACTTTAAGCAAAATATCAAGTACAGAGAATAATATTGACACTATCAGAAAAAAGTGTAGAGAAAATACACCATTTGTTATAGTTGAAGTGTTTCGAAGCATGTTTTAGATTTTAAATCTATCAAATCCCCTTAGCCTTCTCATTTTCTGTTTTAATGATCTCCCCTTAAACTTCTACCTTTGTTTAACTTTCAGCCCTTCTCTGAAACCTATCTTTATCATTTCTAACCTCATTGATCAGCCCTCCTTTCCCCCCCAATAGTAGGAAAACTTCTGTAATGATGAATAGTTCCCTAATAATTTATGTTCGTTAACCACATTAATTGAACACTTCCTTATTTCCCTACTGGAATATAAATACTGAGAAGAGTCAAGTGTATGAGATTGGGAAATAATCAATAACTGGATGGTAAATACTGGCTTGAGAGCCAACATACAGGAGGCTGGCAGCTTCTCCAGCAGTTGAAATCCTCATTAATAAAATTAAGATGGACTTTACAGGATGAAAAGAAACTCTGGGCCCTAGCCAGGATGAATCAACTGCGCTCAGTTGAAATTTTTCTTTTCCAATCATTTGAAGATTTGAGGGTCCTTGACTGAGAACACTGGTATCATTCTCATATGGAACACAGCAAATGAATGAGCAAGAGGGCAAGTCTCATAAAGCTAAATGCTTTGGAACCTCTCGGCTGGAGGGGAGAATACCTTGGACATGCCTCGTTCAGGATCAGTGGGTGGGTCTGGCTTGAGGAGGGCTGACGACCCCCCCCAAATGTCATTCTTCATCTTCAATTTCAACTTCGTGGACCAACGTTGAGCTCATAGTCGTCTCCGTAGGAGTTGGGAGCCCCGGGGTGGAGGAGCTGTAGTTGGTCCCCTGTGTAGGAGGCAGAGCGCTCTGAGATACAGGCAGGGAGGATGGGCCTGGAGATGGGGCAGCACCAGGAATGCAGGTGACGTGACTGGACTTGCCATCGGCATGAATGACGATGGTGGTGCCGGCCTCGGGCTTGCCCAAGTGGACAAAATAGAAGAGCAGAACAACAAGGGCTGCGGCAAGGAGACAGGCCAGGAGACACAGCAGAAACACTTTCCAGGGCGACCATGGCTTTGCTGTTGCATGCACAGTGTTATGAAAAGTGAACGTTTCAGCAAGAACACAGTGGTGACTTAGGTAAATGATTTCCATTAGAATATGGCTAATTTTTTTCATTACTTCAAATGCTATAATTTAAATGAATAAATTTCTCCTCTCTCTCTCTCTGTCTCTCTCTCTCACACACACACACACACATATACATATACACACCTTGTCCGTAAGTGCATAAGGTCAAAATGTCCCCTCTTAGTTAACCCTTTGCACTAAAGCAATAAAGGGGTCACCTTAAATGCAAATAGGTCACCTCAGGAATAAATCACGTGATGACCTCATATCAACTACTATGCTTACAGTATAAATTAAATTATCTAATTAGCCATCTGGGAGAGAAAAACCAAAGGCCCATCAGAACATGGAGACTGGTTATCTTGGAGTGATGGAAAGTGACAGGTATTTGGCTCACTGTCATCTCCCATTTTCAAATGACATTCTGAGATTTGGCAACTAGAAAATGATTCACTAAATACATTTTTGATCTCTTAAACATAAACAAAAGAAAGTTCACTGAACTTAGGAAGACATCAAAGTAGAAAAAACCATCAGCTCTGGTATGGAGCAGGATCTTATAGGAATAGACTACAGTACTGATAGATTACTGGGCCAGCGGGTCCCCCGCATTGCCAGGAGCTTATGGAGTTATGGGGGTGGGAGGACGCCCAAGAAGCACAGAGCCATCAAAGGACAGGCAAGGCGTTGAAGGAGAGGAGACCCCTTCGGAGGGGCTGACCAAGCAGAGCCTGTCTACCTGGGCTTAGCATCACCTCAAAGGACGAGTGAAGATGATCCACTGCCCCCCGGGCCCCAAATCTCACCCACTGTGGCTGTAAGGTCACAACAGGCAATCTACAACCACAATGTGTTCCTTCGTTTGAACCATAGGGATTTCTGGGTAACTGCAGAGAAAGAATGTTAACATCAACAATTCATCAACCCTGATTTTTAAGGATGAAGAAAATTTATTTGATCTAGGCACATAAATTCATAAAACATGTAAAAATTTATTGAATCCAATCTGTATTCCAGGAAGAACTGACCAAGTTCTAGGAAAATCTGAAACTCTAATAAACGGTTTCATGATGTGAGTTATACAAGTACATTTTTCATATTAAATGATCAAAAGGAAAATAATCATCTCAATGCTCACTGCTCATTTAACAAATTTCAGCATTTAAAAGTGGTAAAAGCAAACAAATGATACCAACCCCAAAGAACTAGAAGAAAAGAATAACTCCCAAATGTGATGAGCAATGTTTATCTCCAAGCAATGACCATAATATTTAACAGTGAAACATTCAGAGACATTCTTTTAGAGTCAGGAGAAGAGAAGAATGTCTCCTGCCACCAATATCAGGTACTGGTCTTCTAGAAGTTCTCATCAGTGTGTATAAATAACGGAAATGTGAAGATGAAATTAACATTATTTGCAGATGATATGTTGCCCTACAGAATCCCAAATAATTAGCCAAATACTCTATAAAAAGTAATAAGATCTCATCAAATTGACTGTTTATAAAAGTACAAAATGTATGTGTAGCAACACTGTTTTATGTGTGGGTCTGTGTGTGTGTAACAGCAACTGCTACTTAGGGTAGTAGGGATGCATTTTATTTTTTTTTTCATTAATTTTTATTAGTTAGAGGCTAATTACTTCACAATATTGTAGTGGTTTTTGCCATACATATTGACATGAATCAGCCATGGATTTACATGTGTTCCCCATCCCAATCTCCCCTCCCACCTCCCTCCCCATCCCATCCCTCTGGGTCTTCCCAGTGCACCAGCCCTGAGCACTTGTCTCATGCATCCAACCTGGGCTAGTGATCTGTTTCACCCTTGATAGTATACTTGTTTCAATGCTATTCTCTCAGAACATCCCACCCTCGCCTTCTCCCACAGAGTCCAAAATCTGTTCTGTACATCTGTGTTTCTTTTTCTGTTTCGCATATAGAGTTATCGTTACCATCTTTTTAAAAATTCCATGTATATGCGTTAGTATACTGTATTGGTCTTTATCTTTCTAACTTACTTCACTCTGTATAATGGGCTCCAGTTTCATCCATCCCATTAGAACTGATTCAAATGAATTCTTTTTAATGGCCGAGTAATATTCCATTGTGTATATGTACCATATCTTCCTTATCCATTCGTCTGCTGATGGGCATCTAGGTTGCTTCCATGTCTTGGCTATTATAAACAGTGCTGTGATGAACAATGGGATGCAAGTGTCTTTCAGATCTGGTTTCCTCCGTGTGTATGCCCAGGAGTGGGATTGCTGGGTCATATGGCAGTTCTATTTCCAGTTTTTTAAGGAATTTCCACACTGTTCTCCATAGTGGCTGTACTAGTTTGCACTCCCACCAACAGTGTAAGAGGGTTTAGGGATGCATTTTAAATGGCTAAGTCTACAATGGAAATTTGCTGACTCAGGGAACTCAAATGAGGGCTCTAGACCAGGGCTCCCTCAATCTAGAGGGGTTGAAAGGGTGGGAGGTGGGAGGGAGATTCAAGAGGGATAGGACATATGTATACCTATGGCTAATTCATGTTGATGTATGCAGAAATCAAACCAATATTGTAAAACAACCATCAACCAATTAAAAATAAATAAATATAAATAAATAAATGCAATTAAAAACCAACAAAAAAAAATTGCTAAGCCTATAAAATGCTATAGAATTTATATAGAGAAGACCACAAAACTTTACTGAAAAGCAAAAAGACAACTTTAATAACATCTAAGAAAAGATTTCTGTAGTATAAGCTCTCAATTCTCTGAATATAAATTGACAAAAATTTCATATGATAAAATAAAGCAATCAAAAGAATAAAATTAAATTGGATGGGGGGCAAGAAGCAAAATATTAGCAGGTTTTTTTTCCTCTGGGAGGGGTCATGGGTGATTTTTAAATTTTTTTTTGTAATTTTCTGTTTTTTCCAAATGTTCAAGTACGAAAACAAACTCATAAAGAATTAAAAGAAAATATTCCACCCCTTGTTTCAGGGAATATAAGAGGTTAGTCATAGGTTGCCAGTCAGATTACTAAAAAATAGGAAAGCCAAATGATTCCTTTTCATGGTCTCAGAAGTTGGTTTACTGGGTATTTTGCATAATTAACTAATTATTTGACTTAATGGAATAAATTGCATAAATATTTTTGACATGTGGGGAAAGGAGAAGGAAATAAAATGATGTATATATGATATTAAAGCAATGGAATTTTGCAGCTTCCATGGAGTAAGAGGCAGCCTATAAATTAGGTTTATGGTAGTCTAGATATTGGATTCCCAAACTGAACACAAATACAACCTTCAAGTTGCAAAACAATTTTTATACCTAATCATATCTTCATGTTTATCTTGTCTGACTTTTCTCTTGGTTCTGCAACATCAAGTTAATCATAAAATCCATTTCTCCTTGTTAGAAAGCTAGTACTCAAGCTTTTTGAAAAGTAGCATCTTGTAAGGAAATGATTATAAATGTGAGCAACCCGAGTTCAATTTCTGTCACTAGTTATTTATAAGATGAAAGAATTTGTGTGAATGATGAAAGGGACCCTTAATATGTTCTAAGAAATATGATGTTTATTTGCCTAGAGTAACAGTTTAAGCATAAGTCCCCCCACCATGAGACATTTTCCATAAATTTCTACTTTAGAAACAAGTAAGCCAATGAGAATAAATATTTTCATTGGATTTAAATATGTATGAATATAAACAATATTGCTAATATCTGCTGTCAATATAACACTTCAAATCATCTGCTAAAATCTTGTCCACTCATACATTATTATAAATTTCTGATATAAATATAAAGTTTAGGCAAAAAGTATATTGCACAATTATCAAATGATGGTATAGCACAACTGGTTACTACAATTGGTACTACGTAACTCCCTCAATACTTGCGACTCCTATTAGTAACATCCAGATTCCATTCATCCCCTAATAGTAAACATTAGGAAAAAAATGCAAGTTCAGTTAAATATTAAACGTAGAAAGCAAGAATGTTAGATATGAAAGAAGATATAATTCTTTATATGAATATATGCTTTCATATATTCCAAAGTGAATGATTTTTACATTCCCATCAAGAGTATGGGAACATTCCAGTTCCCTGTTCTTGGTTGATATGGTCAGTACATTCAATCTTACCTGTGCAAGGGTATCTCACTATGGTCTGATTGCATATCCCTAAATGGTTCATCACATTGAACATTTTTAATGTGTTCATTTGCCAGCTGTGTATCTTCTTTGATAAAATGTTTGTAACAGTTATTTTCCAGTTGGTAGTGAATCTTGGCTGATATTTCCCTTGTTATAAATAACTAAGAAGACAATAAAGGAAATGTGTTAGGGGAAAAAAAGGTATGTACACTACTCACCAACTCAGTCGGGTGTTGTTCAATATCCACAGCGTGCTGCTGTTGCTGTTTGCCATCCATTCTGAAAGGGTTGGTATCTCCCATGGAGCTCCAAAGATATCTGTTTTCACTCTGTGGATTAGAAGTTAGGAAATACTGAATTCATGCTAAATTAATAATTGTGTATTTACTCAATCTGGATCATACAAAGTAATAGTCATCCGTTTCCTGGGAAATTTTCCAATTTCAACCCCAAAGTACACAATGTATGTTAGTTGAGAAAAAAGTAGAAAAAATTTGCTCCCTTCCCAAAACAACCTGCAGAAAATTATCTCGACGTTAGGACTCTAAGGATTCTGAGAAGATATAAACACTTGCCTTCCTTATTTCACAAAGATTATTCAAAGTTACTGAAACTTGATTTCTCACAGGTGAGGAATTCAGTTTTCGCTTCTAAAAAAAGCCCACAAAGCCACTCCTTGATTGTGGATAGTGCAGAATTCTGTGGCTAAACAGAAGGCTTATGTTGA